GAATCTATAATCTGTTCTCAGAATCTATAATCTTAACACAGTTGCACTTCAGTATCCACAGGGTATTGGTTCCAAGACCCCCTAAATGACAAAATCACATGACCTGTTTCCCTTTATCAACCCTAAACTTACTACCTTTTTCATATATCCATCCATTTCCAAAGCCAAAAACTTTATCCTTTGAGTTTCCAAATAGTTAAGTAGCTCTGATTCATGGACTAAATCAATGGTCCAAGCTGCACACAAGGTCATGGTGTTTGAAATATGTCTAGACATCCCTGAGAGTCTAGCACACATCTACCCAAGAAAAAACTATAAAAAATGGTTTGGTACAGCTTATTATACCATTTACCAGATTGAAAATGGCAGAGTAAAAATGTTTGCATCTCTTATCTGAAAATTAACATTAAAAATAGTCTCTTTGGTCAAAAATATCAATAAAATCTTCAAAGAAAAATTGGATATCAACAATATCCAGAAATACATTATGAAATTTCACTCATAATGTATGCAAGAGAAGAGAAGAGGAAAGAAGGTAAAAGGGAAGGAGAGAAGAAGGGAGAAAATAAGAGACGAAGGAAAGAAAAAGAATGAGAAGGGCAGGGGGAAAGAATGGAGTATTTTTTAAGTGTGGCATCAACATCAAGTGAACAGCGACAGGTGTGACTACAGTAGCAAACCTACCAGATATTTTCAACAAGACATACACAACAAAATCATGGGTCATATTAGCATGCTATTAAGTTGACAGAAACATCTCATCTTGAAGGGCCATTGCTCAATTTTATTTTATATATTTAGAAAATAACCATTTTATATTCCCTATTACAGGGCCTGGTACATACAAGTAGCAAATGCTTGTTGAAGGATCAACTAGATGAATAGATGGCTGACTGAAAACAAACAAATGGGTAGAAGGAAAAATGATGAATACTCAAAATAAGAAAGTTTTCAAATATTCAATAATGGAGAAGATTTCCTGCTTCTCCATTTTAAAATGCTAATCTAATTAGGGGGAACACATGAGAGGTAGCATAGCACAATATGAAGACCTAGGCTCAGAAGGACCTAGGTTAAAATCCTAGCTCAACTCTTACCGGCCTGTGTCCTTGAGCAAATTGCTTAATTTACGTAAGGCTTAGTTTCCTCCACCTATAAAACAGGGATCACAATATCTACCTTACAAAGACATCAAACCAGCACTTTTGGCACCTGGAACAAACTACAAAAACCAGCTCTCAAATCAACTCTGTAATTCATAATGTAGCCCACAGATGGGTGTTACTAACAATGCTCGCCATCTGGTAGCTTCCTGTTTTAAATAATTATTCTTGCTAACTAGGTGCCAAGCTTTTAGAATCATTATATTAAATGTTTGCACCCTCTAAATTTTGGTGTCCTTAGACGAAGTCCAGTATGGCCAGTCATAGTTCAACTTATGGGGTTGCTGTGAAGATTAAAAATAGTCTAAGAAAAATACCTTGTACAGTGACAGACGTGTAATGAATTGTTATTACTTAAACATTTTATTAATACGTTTCTGTAATCCACATACCACTCTATATTATCACAACTACTCCAATAAGCCCACACATAGATTAATCATATCAGCCACTTTCAGCATTATATAAACAAGATGGACAGGAAAGGGTGATATATATTGCAACATCCTTTTCAAAAATTCAAGTTGATTCCTTCCACTCTGACTTTTGGATTTTCTCTCTTACATCCATAAAGACCTGAGAATTTAGAAGAGAGACAGTACTTTCATTCTAAGAGCCATTTCTGAAAGGGAGTAAGTAAAGTGTCAGGTTCAAAGAGAATTCAAAGTCACCACTACCAGGGTATACTTATTCTCCGCTGGATGGGCAAACAGAGCTGTTGCTATTGTATTTTGCATGTGGTCTCAGCTGTGCAAATACCAGTTAAATAAGAAAAACATCAACCCATCTTTATCAGACCTACTAACAACCCAGACAAACTCCTTTAGGATGAATAGTTTAGTAACAAAATAACGAAATTTGCCAACCCTAAGAATCTTTGTATAAAGCACTACTTAGATCTGAAAGATTATTTTCTCTGAATTATCAGATATCCAGAAATACTTACTATAAGACATGCCAATCCATGCCAATAAAAATCACAAGAACAAACCGTTATGAAGAGTTCAATTTAAATGATTTATAGGTTTTACTGGTTATAGAGATCTTTCACTAACAGTTTTGTCAACCTGTAACAAACCTTGTCCAAGGAAACATCTCTTCTAAGCAAAAAAGTCAAATCAAGCTGACAACTAGAGCCCCCAGTTTCCCCACAAATTGAAGGATAATAACCATAGGTCTGTTAGGTGGTGACTAGTATGCTAGTACAGAATCCATGGACTGGAAGTACTGTCCCAAACTTACATTTGACACAGGGTCAAATGTGTAACCAGGAGGGCTGAAACAAAGGTTCTTTTACATACTGGTTAAAAATTAGAGTTCTATGATTGTGGTTCCCATAGTTAGTATGAATAAAAATGGATCAAATTGCAAATAAACAATAAAAGACTAAAATCAGTTTAATCAGTTACTAACTTTCTGGAATTGATGTCATATTAACAACAGAAACCAATCCAGAGCAGGAATGGATATTGTGGTTTTAAAAGGACAAACATGCATTAAATACAAGATACATGTTTAAATGGTAGCATTCCTTAAGATAGTAGTCTAGTAGGTTTGGTATCAAGTTCTAGTGGAGAAATAATTCACCACCATAATCAAAGTAACTAACCAAATGACATATTCTTTGTTATTTCCTGACGTGTATGTATAATTCTCATTCTGAAGCACAGATTTCTATTTTTCTGGTGCCACCAAGTGGTAACAGTATGAAATGTAAGATTAAATGCAAACAACTTAGAAAAATGTCACACTGACGACCCTCATGCATTTTATATATGTCAATTAAACTCCAGTGATGTTTTAGCACATAATTCTCTGAAAAGAAACAGAAAAATATCAGAGCAGATTTTTTAAATAATTCATACCCATTTTAAACTCCCAACTCGAAGTGAGAGTTAAGGCAAAGAATAAACATGAACAGATCTTTACGATCATAATGCTCCACCAGCAAACAAAAAACCCAACAGATGGCCGGGCGCAGTGGCTCACACCTATAATCCCAGCACTTTGGGAGGTCGAAGCAGGTGGACCACCTGAGGTCAAGAGTTTGAGATCAGCCTGGCAAACATGGTGAGACCCCGTCTCTACTAAAACTACAGAAATTAGCCAGGTGTGGTGGCGCACACCTGTAATTCCAGCAACTAAGGAGGGTGAGGCAGGAGAATTGCTCAAACTCCCAGAGGCAGAGGTTGCAGTGAGCTGACATGGCGCCACTGCACTCCAGCCTGGGTAACAGAGTGAGATTGGGTCTCCAAAAAAAAAAAACCTAACATTATAAAACCATTTGAAAAATAAAATTAGGATGAAAATGATCTTTCCATCAAAGCATGAAAACAAGTAACTTCCAAATTAGACTATCAATTAGAAGCCTTAAATGTGATAACCTATATTATATAACGATATCAAGATGACAAAATTAATGAGAAATGAATTTAGAGTCAATTATTTGAAACTGTGTTAACAGATTCCAAATGGTTATATCAGCATTTCGGTAAGATAAAAACTAGTGAAAAAGGAAACAAGACTCCAGCTCCTCTTGTTGCTATACACACAAAACATTAATAGCTGTTTGTTCCTCAGGCCCACCAAAATAAGTAGCAATTGTGAAATCTGAATTCCCAGTTGAAGATGGCAAATTGAACACATTTTTTTAGCTAGGTTCCCTACTGAAACTCTATTAACATGGCAGTCAAAAAATTTCTTTAAGACAAAAATCCCACAAGGACAAAGAAACTGAGAAGGTAACAGCAACAAAATTTTAGAAGATAAAAAGATATAAAAAGTAAACATCAATACACTGCAATGGGAATATAATTTTAAAAAAAAAGAAAGGTAGATGGATGAGAAGTTACTAAAAGGAAACTCAGGAAAGTTGCCAAATTTACATGGCACGGTAAAACTCTCCAAAAATTCAAGAACTGGTGGCATTAGGAAGTGGGAGTGAAAGCTAAAAACAAGAGAAATGGTCAAAATCCTGGTTAAGAAGCAGTTAGGATCCTCCATATACAGGCAGGTACACCATATTATAAAACTGAAAGTTTATACTCCAGAAATAACAAAAGGCTTTTGGACTATCCTAGCAGGATACTAGGCACAGTGAGAAGTACTGTAGTAAAAAGTGTTAGTAATACAGGAGACCGGTAATCTGAATGGTACTGACAAACCCAAGACCACAGAACAATCTTTTGTAAATAAAACCACTGGAAGAACGCCAATATCAATCTTTGATTACTGTATCCAAAAAGTCATGTAACTAAATTCAGAATGCTTCATTCTACTTCTATATAGAAAAATTAAAGGGCTAAAACGAGAGCTAATACTTCAGAAGAGTAAGCTCTACATATAGACATTCAGTTACATTCAGCTCTACACATCCCACATCACCTCCATTAATTAAATGAGAATTTACAACAGCTACAAAGAACAAAATAGTAGGCAAACCCAAGAAACTTTTATGCTCTTAGTTTAAAATCCATTTTATTTTGTCTCTTCAGGTCATCAAGAATCTCTGAATTACTCCTGAGAGAGATGAAGGCAAGTAAAACACTGCCTTTTCAAGTCAGAAATGAAAGATTATTATTCATACAAGAGACTTGGAGAATTGCTGACTTTTTTTTAATCCTGTTTTTGTGGATTAATTGATTTAAAGTAGAGGGTTAAGTACCTCCAATAATGTCTAATATCAAGTATATATGCATATATATGTCTTTTAAGCTTCAGTAATTTATCATTTTCAGTATTATTTCCATAAGACTATACAGAAGATATACGTATGTACTTTTCCCATACACCAACAAAAGACCATGCCAAAACATATTAATATATATAAAACCATACCTTGAACACCTTCTAGGAGTAAATCAACTCCCTTCCTATAAAAATCAGATGCAGCTTCATAGTCGTCTTCTTCTTCCTTTTTTAAAGCCAGCTTTATTAATTCTCCTGCTTTCTCCAAATAATCTCTCTTGCCAAGCTTGGGTTTTAAACTGCCAGGAAAGAGGCTACGACTTTCCCGTTCTTCTGTTTTGTTCTGTTCACTCTCAGAAGCAACAGCTCCTAGTGCTGAAGAATCCAAAGAAAGATTGAGACCAAAAGTTCTAATGGGAGAATCTTGATTGGAAGCCATTCCATCATCTAACTCAGCAAGAGAATCCACATCAACAGTAAGAGATATCAGATCACTGTCACTGGAGAAGCCTAGAAATATGATCACAATAGTAAACAGATATTAAATTGAGAATCAGCCAAATGAATACAAATCATGCTAATTATTCATTTTTCATATTATCCAAGTCAATTTGGAAGGCTGTAATTTACTGATGGAAGTCAGTGTCTAGCAATTTGTTTCAGCTTAGTCCATTCATTTTATTCTCTCTATAGAACTCTGGAAGACAACTTCCTTGCCTTAAGCATCAAACTAAAATTGAAAACAAATCTTCATCTAGTTTGGATGCCAAAAAGAGCCTTTACCACAAGATCCTGTAAGCTATTTACAGAAAACTGTTGTCTGTACACAGAGTTGCTACAAATAACAGCACTTTGATAAAGGAAAAAGTACTTGAATCTTAGCTTTTTTTTTTTTTTTTTTTTAAAGACATCATCTTGCTATGTTGCCCAGCTGCACTCCAACTCCTGGGCTCAAGCAATCCTCTCACTTCAGCCTCCTGACTAGCTTAGATTACAAGCATGGGCCACCATACCCAGCTCCAGCTCTTAAAACTTACTGTGTGACCAACAGCAGGTTACTTCATAGTATTACTTACTGTGTAAGACTTTAAATAAGGAATAGAGTTAATGCATATAAAGCATAAGAGACTATCATTATTTTATGACTTTTATAACAATTATATAATACAGGATGAATATCCCTCATCTGAAATGAGGGACCAGAAGTGTTTCAGATTTCAGATTTTAGGTTAGGGATTCTCAACCTGTAACTATATAACAATTATCCAATGTGTCCTCAGAAGTGTGCTTTTTGGTAACTAACCATATCTGGAAAATGTATGCTATTTAGCATTTGTTAAAGTCAGAATTTTTAGACATTTTTGTCTCAGCCTCTTCCACAAGCTTTTGGAAAGGTATATTTGCACCTATGTTTTCAGACAAAAAACAAAGTAATAGGTGCTACTGAATTATTTAGCAGTGAAAATTCCTTCTCATAGGTCATATAACTGACATCTGGTAAATGAGCATAATCCACAATACATACCAAACTTTCTGCTCTCAGGACTGCCTTTCAAAATGATTGTGGATTCTAAAAAGCTTTTGTTCATGTGAATTGTATCTGTGAATATTTATTAAATACCAATACTGACATTTAGAAAATACGTCTAGAAATGCATAAAGCATTAAAGCCCCATTATTTAGTAACGTAATTTTTATGAAAAATAACTATATTTTTCAAAACAAAAAAAAGTGGCATTGTTTTACATTTTTGCAAATCTTGTTAATGTCTGGCTTAACAGAAGATAGCTAGACAATCATAGCTGATTCTGCTCATAATCTGTTGTCATATGTTGTTTTGGATGAAAGATATGAAGGAAATGTCACACAGATAATGTAATTGAAAAAGAAACAAGTATTAGCCTTTTCAGGTAATTATGAATATGGTTCTTTGATACTACACCAAAACTCTACAATTGATAGTTTTTTAAAGCTCAGTTGTACTGCGGAATATCAAATCCTATGACTGGAATTTCCATTTCTTTTACATTCAAATCCATTGGTATCTCTTGCACACTGAATAAATCTTTTACCTGTGCATGAATTTATAACATCATACATTGGTCATCCTGAAAGTAGGGGTTCCCTTAGTTACAAAGATCTTTCAAATGTTGACAGTACATTTCATTATCCCAAAAAAATCGTATGTCAACATTTCATTATCCACCAATCTCATCAGAAAATTTTTAAGTATTGGGAAACTGCCAAACCCAAAGTGGCAGACAGAGGTTATCTAAAAATCCCAATTTTGAATTGAAAACTCCAATTTTGTTATTGGCAACAAATAGGATCAGTTGTTTTCCTTGAAGTGTCAGCTTACTTCACTCCATTTCAAGAAAAAATGTGTCAAACACACAAGTGTGAATAATGACAGTTTGGCAATTGTTCTTTCAAGAAAAATGATGTCCCGTGAAAAAAGCAGGTAGTTCAACTAATGGCTCAAACAACTGAACAAGTGCTTTTCCTCAAGACAACTATGGTAGTTCAATACGCAGAGTGCTTTATGCGTAATTCTCATCTTTTCACACAGCATATTAAAAAGACAAGGAACAAGGGTTAAGATTTAACAAAATTAACAGTTTCTGCTACTTAGGAAAAATTAACATTGGTTTTATAAGTATATGCAATGAGTTCTGTTACAGCCTGGTGTCACTGTCTTGATTCAGTGACACCAAAGCACAAGCACAGCAGTTTCACCTACCACGGCTTTTGTATCATCAGGGCAAATGTCAACATGGTGAAAAGGCAAAGAACGTCCTGGTATTATTACCAAAATAGTTTTGTTTCATGAACCCCCTAAAAATATCTCAGCAACACCCAGAGACCTGAAGGTCACAGTTTGAAAGCCACTGATCTAGATCATTAAATAAGACTGACAACAGGGTTATCTAAAAACTAGTTTGGAAATAACTATGACATCTGCGTCACCACTGAACATTAACTACCAAGTTTCTCAGAAAAAAATTAAAAAGAAAATTATTTCCTCAATATTATATACTAAATCAAAATGAAAAGTGGATTAGACCATACAATTCTAGATCAGGGATCAGCAAGATTTTTCTATAAAGGGCCAAAAAGTAAGAATTTTAGGCTTTGCAGGCCATATGTGGTCTCTGTCACAACTACTCAACACTGCTGTTGTAGTGCAAAAGCGTCATAGACAACATATAAATGAATAAGCATGGCTGTGCTCCAGTAAAACTTTACAAACATTGAAGTGTGAATTCCTTATAATTTTCCCACTACAAAAATCACAAAATCATATTCTTTTAATTTTTTTAACCATTTAAAAATGTAAACACCATTCTTAGTTTGCAGGCCATACAAAAACAGGCGGCAGGCCAGACTCAGCCCATGGACCATAGTTTTGCCAACTCTTATTTTAAATTCAAATTGTTTACTTCACATCAAATAAAGTAAGGTAGGGTAAAAACATGTTACTGGCCACTAAGCTCAAATTTCTAATCAGCTTTAGATGCTGCCTTGGCACCCTGTCAATATATATCCTCATTTTCAACCTTATTTCAAGCCCTTAGAACGTCCAAAAAGAACAAATTCTATTCCCAAAAAGCAAAAGATTTCATTAAACTGACAATCTCAAATGAGATTCATAGAACCTAGAGAAAATCTTTTTAATTCTCTGACATATCAGTCATACAGACAGTACTTCATAATAAGAATCTTTCCTAGTAATCAACAAAGGTATTTATCTACTATCCTATGAAATATATATAAATTTTATGAGATTTTTCTTAAATTAAAAATTTATGAGATTTTTCTTATTTTTAGTATATGTGCTACCGAAGTGAGCACGATTTTTCTTAATTTTAAAACATTTTATGTATTTCAATGCAAACTTATTTCCTTAAATGATGCCAACATATAACCTAGCCCATTGAAACTGATAAATAGATAAGGTTGAAAAAAGTTCTAGATGATACAGCTAATCACAAAAGAAAGGAAATGCTGTATTAGAGATCTCTTTTGTCTGTTCTCTGGTGTCTTGTCACTATAACCTTCACATCATCTATCACATTGTTCTGTTTCATCTTTTGCCCCATTTTCCTTTTTAACAATAACAATAACAACGAAGGGCAAGAGGGCAGCGTTACATAGAATCTGTTTCTTGGCTTTTGACTACAACAAACTAGTACCACAGTCATATTTCCTCTTACCTTTCAAATCATATTTTATTAGCAATGAGAATCATAATTAAATGAAATTAGATCAAAAAAGTAGGACCATTTAAAATACCTAGAGACAAAGATAGTAAAATTAAGTAAATAAACATTCTGTAGAAAATGTTTCCTTTTCAAATTCTAATTTCTTAATTAGGCATCTTTAAAAGAAAGCAAACACACACACACATACACATACACCCCAGCAGGTAAAAAAGAGAAATTTATTTAGCCAAACCAGAAGAAGAAAAGAGAAATAAAAAGACTTCGAGTTTAACCTTTTTAAAAAGAAGAGAATTTGGCAATGCATATCAAAAGCACAAATCTGCTTCTATCTTTCTCCCAGAAATTTAGCAATGTATACCAAAACCAATCAGAGGTGTACAAAAAAGATCTATATACAAGAATGTCCATCACAACAATCAGTAAAAATGTGGCAATAAACTCGTAATAGGAGATTATAATACCTCCTTTTGATAAAATATTATACAGCTATTAAAATCATTCTATAGAAGAATATTTAATGCTAAAGTCTTATGATATATTATGCAAAAACAACCAACTACAAATGAGTATGTATATTATAATTCTACTTTAAAAACAAACACAAAAAAAAGGCTAGAAAGATACACTATTAACAGTGATTTTCTGTGTATGGTAGGATTATAGGTAATTCTATAATACAAAATTTAATAATATTCTTTGTGTATGGTAAACCCTTAAGCTCAGTATCTGAAAGATATCAAAGGAGATGCATCAAGGGCCAATACTGGGAATGTATTTGAGTAAAAGAAAGTTATACACGCATCATTTGTGAAATATAAACCTACATGGATCAACCAGCAGCTAGTGCCAAGGATTCCAAACTCAAAAAAGGAGTTAGATATGAGTATAGAGACAGATCTGTTTAAAGCAGGCAAACCCCTGACACCTCTTCCTTGCCCACCTTATTCCTTTAATTCTCCTCTGGAAGTTGCACCTGGCCATGCCTGAAAAGCCTAACCCTACCCTATCTCCTCGACCATATAAGGCAACTAATCATCTTCTAGTACTCAATGATATCTTTCTCTTCCATATTTAAGCAGTTTCTACATTCCCTTCTTCTCAATGAAGTATTCTCCAGCCAGCTCGAGGAAGATAACATTTAGAAACTCCCTTCAACACCACAGCAATGACTCTTATTTATAAATATATGTAAATACTCAATGCCTAGTTTATTTATATTACATACTTAACATATCTGCTTAATATAGTGCTTGTTCAACTCCCAGAAATCACACAATTTAACTTATT